GGGATTTCCTTGTGACTCTTCTTACAGTTCATTCCTTATTTTTCCTGGTTTTCAAACCGCACTAATGATCCCAGGAGTGGCCTGGAGGGTATTTTAGTCTTTAAAAAGGCTCTCTTCTTACCAGCTACCTGAGATGTATAATACTGCAGCCCGCTATTGCCTGATTGTTGCTGATGTGGACTGCCCAACTACTCTCACTGCCTGCCTCAGCCTCACCATTGTCCTTAATCCCCCTGGAAAACAGTGAACTCCGGATTTACTACCCCCCCCCCCCCCGCTATAACCAGCTCCTGGTCTGTCTTGCTCACCCCAATATGATCTCCTCCTATTGCCTGCTCCTTGACCATGGTCACTTTCTGGCCTGCCTCCCATACACTATAAGATCTTCCCTGCACCCCCAACCATGCTCAGATCTTGCTCTGCCACTAACAACTTCACTCTGCTCATTCCAATCATGATCCCCCCTAATCTGCTACGCTGTCCTCCCTGGTGATAATAACCTTCTCGTGTGCTTCCTTACCTGCCAACCACAACCAGTTCCCAATCTACATTTATTTCTTCTCCCCAATCACAAAGGTCCAGGTTCAGCCTTCAAACCTCAAAGTTTCTACTCTGTCGCTCATATTCCCGGTACACAATCAGTTTAGACTGTGTCCTATGTGTCCTCCTCTCCAAGTCACAATTAAAGTGATATTACAAGCAGATTATTATTTTAAATAAACATGACTATACTTCCCTCCTCTGTGCACTGGTTTTGCACAGAGCAACCCATTTCCTTCTCTTCTCGGGTCACCCACAGCTTGCTATGGGGGCACCTGAGCAGGCTCACTCCTGAGCTGCTGCTCTGTGTGACCATTCACACACTGAGCATGACTCGGCCCATTCTCTCCTGATTGGCTTCACTGGCTTATGATTGCTGTCTCAGCCAATGAGGAGGGAGAGATCCAGGAGGGACAAGGCTTCTGTGCACATCGCTGGATCCAGATGGGGCTCAGGTAAGTGTAGGGGGGCTAAAGGAGATCTGAATGGAGTTGGGTTTTGAGGGATTGTGTTATGTATGACCTCCCTTAGGGCCCGTTCACACTAGAATGCAGTGCAGGAGAGCTGCGGGGGTCAGTTCAAAGTTAACAACACCCCAAATGCAGGTTGCAAATGTCTGCACCGGCCCACACAAGATCACATGGTACAAAAGTACCAGCAATGTGGTTGCAGTACGTTTAAAAAAGGAGTGCGTGTACTACTTTTGGTGCGGTGCACTGCATGTGAATTGCACAGGAACCTCACAGCATTCCATGTGCGATTTCACATGTAGTTTCTAGTGTGGATGGGCCCTTAAACTTTGACATCATAATCATGAATTGGAATACTTTTTGTAAAGAGCTATGAGATCTGGGGCTTACCCAATGCTTCAGTGCCAAAATCCTAAAAATGTATTTTAGAATATTGGTGCGTGTAGAAATCACAGAACCTAATAGGAAAATATTGACATTACATCAATCCAGGGCATACCTACAAGGATCACAGGGGTAACAATAGTGATTTGGTCCAATGCTCTAGGGAGCCCATGCAGCTCCCCTGTATATCTGGATAGGAGGGGAGGCGGGGGTGACATGTAAAGGAAACAATCCCCTCCATTTTCCTCCTGCAACCATTGAAAGCCTGCTTCTCCTTCTCTCCCTCTCACAGGCATTCATTGGCTGCAGGAGGAAAGTGGAGGGGATTGATTCCTTTATATGCCACCCCCGCCTCCCCCCTATCCAAGTCCTGCTGCCCCCTGGGCCCTTGGGTACTCCCTGGCTCCTCCTCACTGCCGAAATCCCCCTTTCCCTCTCCCATCAGCTGCTGTGGGGGATGAGTCAGGATGGACAGTGAAAAAGAGGCTGGTAAATATGTCATTTGCCAGCCCCTTCCTTTTCTGAATGAACAATCAATGATTGATACCGATCAAACTGTGTTTACTATGCTTCAGTTTGTGAATGAACAAGAAGCTCTGTACAAGGCTATTCCTGTCCATTCATTCTGTGCAGCTGAAGATGCAGAGATGGAGATGGAGAGCTGTGTCCTCAATCTCCTTTCTCTGTCTCAAAGGTGGAACATCAGAGGTCTGTTTAGACCCCTGATATTATTTCAACAAAGTCCAACAGGGTTCCTAAGAAAAAAAATTGAAACATTTAAAAAAACTGTAAAAAAAAAATAAATAAATATAATGGTAAAAAGTAATAAAAAAAACTAATAACTACTATCAACCCCAGTGGCAGAACTACCAGGGCGTAAAGGTCACACTGGGCCCTGACATTCCACCACCATGGGGAGCCCCAAGACAGCATGAAGAAGGCCTGCTGCAGAACATATGAAAGGGTCCCATGATGGGAGTAAAGGGCCCCAGGATCAGTGGAAAGGGCTCTTCTCCCAAAGGGAGGAGTCCCAGCCAGGGGTCAGGAGGACCCTTCATGGTTTCTTGCACCAGGGCCCTGAGGGTTCTAGTTACTCCTCTGACAAGATCTATAATGTACCCCAATTGAAACTACTTAAACACTGAGGGTCTGAGGTAGGCAGACTATAATGCATTCATAGATCCCCGATTAGAAGCTTTACCATGTGTGACTTGAGTAGTCTGAACACAAGCTGTAGCCATTCAGTCTGAATGTGTCACTCCATGGACTTCAGGTGGAGGCAGGACTACTTTGTGGTTCAACTTTCACTTTGAAACATGGTGGTCTGCGGAGTCTGTGCTGTGTACCCTGGTGGGGGAGTTTCCTTTTTTGTGCTCATCCAGAAGTTGGCTTGAGTAAGTAGATATATACACAGAAAAGCAGACGGCACTTTTGAATCCCAAATCCAGCAATCAAGTATATTTTACTGCCATGGGAAAACTAAGGAATATAACACTCATACCTTTTTGAGCACTCCACTTTCAGACATAAATTAGGCCCTCTCTACCCTTGCGTAGGCTAATAGGCTACTATAGTTGTAGTAGTGTTCTTACCGTATCCGTATTTTCCAATTGATTACAATGTTTACAAGCAAGTAGACTGGTAATAATAGAAAACATATAATAAAATAACAATTTGTTTTCTTACAGAACTTCATACAAGAAAAACTACCTTTCATCAGTTTGCAGAAAAAATGAACATGGAACTACACCTGACTACAAAATTGACTCTGAGGGATATCTTGAGTCTTGGCTTAGATAATGTGCATGACAAACCTCCTAAAACTATAGAGGATCTTCCCGGGAATTACTTAAGGAAACTCATGGCCTTAAACAGGGCTGCAAGAGACGTTCTTCTTGAGAAAGAACAGCCTACTGGTGTTGACATATATGATGGTGATGATGATGATGATGACAACCTATTTGATTCTTCTTTGATTACAGGTGATGATTCCTCAGCCTCTGTTCACCCCCTGGATGTCCTGTGTCTTCTCCTGCATTGCTCAGACAGTTTTCTCCAACAAGAGATTGTAACCAAATTGTCCATGTGCCAGTTTGCTCCCCTCTGCTGCTCCCTTCTGGTGACGGGTCACACTGCACCCTCATGCTTTGGGCAATGAGAGACATAGTGAAGAAGTGGAGACCTCAGTCATTAGCGGACAGTAAAGGGTTCAGAGAAGAAAATGTGGTGAATACTTCCATGCCAATCTTCTCATTTGTCAGACTTGGAAAAAACAAATTATCAAAATCAAAAATCCTGAATCAAGTTCTTAATCCACCTCAGCTACCTATTAACGTCTTCATACATGACAATATGGAGGAGGAAACATTAAGAGGGAAATATCTGATGGACTGGTAGAGTTTCCTGGTATTTTCCCTGTGGTAAGTCTGATGTTTTCCCAGAACCCATCGCAGTGACCAACCTACGAGGAGACCTGGAGACCAACTGGGACCAGTTCATGTTTCTGACAAGAATTTCATCAGCTGTGTTTACATTCATTGAGGATATTTCTGAGAGAGAATTCAGATTGCTATCATCCTGCCCTACCACTGACACCCAGTATTACTTCATTGTACTCCTGGTCCTGGCAAAACTGTGAGTCCACAGACACTGAAGACCCTTCAAGACTTAATGCCAGTTCTAAAGATGAAAAAATCATATGTGATAATACATGCAGGCACAGAAAATGAGGCGGCATTTGTAAAAAAACTACAAAGTACTATTATTCATTTCTTAAACAGTAATCCAAAAGAAAATAAAATGAGAGACCTTGAGAAGAAACGTCATGGATTGGACATCCAAGTGGATGAGAGAGTTCCTGAATGTCAGAAGGCCAGGAAAACGTGCCAGGAGAATTACAGGAGAAATAACAAACGTGTCTGAGTATAAGAACATCACTATGAAGTTACAGGGAGATCTCTGGAGACAGTTATCTAATGTGGAAAAGGAACTTTGCAGAATGACAAAGCAAGGTGGTAAAGACACACAACATTATCAAGATGAACTGATGAAGAAACGTATTTCACTGCATGAGGAACAACATAATCATGATCTGCCCCATGGTTTGATGCTCTTTATTGATGCAATCACTCATTTGTCTGAGACTGAGAAACAATATTTTCTGAAATGGATGAAATTTGAACTTGATTCAATTGCTAGAAATCATCTTTCTAATCTTCAAGCTGAATACAAAGAAAAATGTAACAATCTCTTAATCAATAAGGAAGAACTCAGACAGATAGACCAGAAAATCTCTGACAGTTCTTTAGGAATTGAACATTTCCTACGTGAGATGGGACAGTTTTATGAAGCTGAATGTTCCATGGCTAAAGAAAACAAAATACATAAAAGCCAAAGACGATTTGCTGGACTGCCAGGAATTGCTGCCAATCTCTTGTTGAATGGTTTTCCATTGGAGCTACTAGATGGAGATGCCTCCAACATTCCCCTACGGTGGATAACTGATGTTCTAAAGGAGCTGGACACCAAAACAGGGGGGAAATGCAGAATGAGAGTAATCACGTGCTGGGAGTGCAGAGTACAGGAAAATCCACTCTTCTCAACACCATGTTCGGTCTGCAGTTCCCTGTGGCCAGTGGAAGATGCACACGAGGAGCCTTCATGACTCTTCTTAGTGTGAAAGAGGACTGCCAGGAGGAGCTGGGCTGTGACTTCATCCTGGTGATTGACACTGAGGGGCTGAAAGCTCCAGAGTTGGCTTCCTTGGAGGGCAGTTATGAACATGACAATGAACTGGCCACACTAGTGGTTGGGTTGAGTGAGATCACCGTAGTCAATATGGCCATGGAAAATACATCAGAAATGAAGGATATCTTACAGATTGTGGTCCATGCTTTTCTTAGAATGAAAGAAATAGGAAAGAGACCCAACTGTCAATTTGTACATCAGAATGTGAGTGATGTGTCTGCTCATGACAAGAACATGAGAGACAGGAAGAAACTTCTGGAACATCTGAATAAAATGATAAAATTAGCTGCAGAGATGGAAAACAAGAGTGAGATAAAAACTTTCAGTGATGTCATGGCAATACAATCTGGAGAAAGACAACTGCTACATTCCTGGGCTCTGGCTTGGGGTCCCACCAATGGCTCCAGTAAATTCTGGGTACAGTGAACATGTGGCTGAATTTAAAAAAGCATTTACTAGAATTAATGACAAACAAAGAATCCCTGCACAAGCCTTTAAACATTCTTGAATTTTTATAAATGGATAGAAAGTTTATGGAATGCTGTAAAACATGAGAAATTCATCTTCAGTTTCAGGAACAGCCTGGTGGCAGAAGCTTATAATAAACTATCTATACGATACTCACAGTGGGAATGGGAGTTCAGAAAAGCTGTCTATGATTGGCTGATCCGAACAGAGACAAACGTTAAGAATCAGACTGAAGAGATTCTAAGTGATGAACTTTGCTTTGAATTTAAAATGAGCTCAACAATTGTTGATTAGTAAAGAAATTAAAATGTTAGAATTGCTGGAAAACTACTTTGACAATAAAAAATGAAAATGTTCATTTAATAGAACGATACAAACAAGATTTTATTCTGAGCACAACATTCCTGAAGGAGGAATTGAAAAGAAATTCTCTTCTGAAGTTGGATGAGGCTGTTTCTATTCAGAAAGGGAAATTCAAAATTCAGACAATGCAAAGTAATTCCCAGAAATTGATTGAAGACAAAATCACAGATCTCAAGAGGTGCCAAGAGAAAAAAAGAATGCTGAATAATGTACAGTTAAAGAGAGAATTTGAGGAGATGTGGAAGAAGACACTTGAGAGATCTACAGATTGAGAAATTAAAAATGCACATTGTCAGTAGATCTATGTTACAGCAGCTAATGAATGACATGAGCAGTAAAGGATCGGCTGTAAATGAACACTTACTGGGTGTGAAGGACTTGGCAGATATCCCACAGACTGATTTCCAGATTGATGAGAAATATTCTGAGAGTGGATGGTTCAAGATACTGAAAGAAACAGTTTTGCATAAAATTGGTCGTAGGTCCGAAATGAGCATTTTGACAAAATAAATGATTTTGCTCATTCTCTTATAGATAACTGTGACCAAATATATCAGAGGGAAGGTGAGGACTGGAGAGGACTATTGTGACAACTACTGCCTGGAATTACTTCATATGATTACAACAGAGATTTCTAAACAGTCCAAAAGCCTTCATTTGTCCACATGGTTTGAACTGGATATCAAGCTTCACATTCTTGGGAAAGCTTCCAGAGAATTTCAGGAGATGCATGAGAAATTCATTAAAGAGAACGATCCAAAACTGTGTTTGGAGAAACTAAAGCCTGGATATTTAGAAACATTTATCAGTCTATTTCAAGAGAAAGATATTTGTCAGACTAAAGCCAAAGAATTCTGTGATCGATGCTTAAAACCTGCAATGATGGATCATGTTTTCCACCATCTTGGGCAGAAAATAATGGATGGAATAGTAGAAAGTTCAGACAACAAGAAATTCAGCAGTAGAACATTTTTTCAATATTTTTTACTGAAGGAGCTGCTAGAAGAAATGTCCTTTCAGGAATATGTGAAGTATATACTGTCATATGAGGAATATACAAGAGCCGGATACTGAATTACACTGAAACATATGCAACACCCCAAATCCTAAAACCATTACAAGAAGATCTGCTCTCTTCACTGGACACAAAGATAAGATCAGCTCTTACTGAAGACAACTCTCTTAAAAGTTTATCTGTCTCAGATTTTTTGAAAAACTGTATGTGAGATACTAAAGGAAGAATTAGTAATCCCACAGATGCAATGCAAGTGATCACTTTCCAGAACACGGCTGATGTTGGCCAATTTTCATCTGACATTCAGCTCTTCCTCCAAGATACAGAAACAGAAGTCTTATCAGAGCTGCAATCTATGGATATAAAGTCTGTACTCTCCAGGGTGGAGGTGAAGCCTCAGGATGAATTGTTCAGGAAGGTTGTTGGCTGTGGGAAGCAATGTCCATTCTGTAAAGTCCCCTGTGAGGCCGGAGGTGATGGACACAAGGAGACACTTTGCTACCATCCACAGACCTGAAGGCCTGGGAAGATACAGATGGATTTGTACTCAAAAGTTACGCACTGATATATGTAGTACATCTGTTGTATCTAATGGATCATTTAGAAATTCAGACACACAGAATCCAAACCACACCCATACAAAGAGTATCGTACCATTTATCCAGACTGGTCCATCCAACCAGATCCCAGCATCGAGTCATCAGATTACTGGAAATATATTTTTGTTACATTTAATGAGAAATTTGCTGAAGAATACAAGGCAAAACCAGCAAATCTACCAGACGGCTGGAAATCCATCACAAAAGAAAACGCTCTGCAAAGCTTAAAGAAAATGTTCAACAGCTAAACAGAGAAGACAAATCACCACAACGTGTAATTCATCATCCAAGTCATTGTCTGCAAATCGTTTACACTTATGAAAAATAAAAACCTTTCCATGGATTTTCTCTAATTGGAAAAACATTTCAAATATTTCCCTCACCACCACGGCCACAGTAACCAGGGTGTGACAGAATGTCTGAGAATCCTCATCCCCCCCATGATATAATGGGATCATTGCTTCTCCCAGAAGATTCCAGAACATTCCAAGTCATATTACAGGTGGTGGTTGTATCCATGGACTATGACATTCCTAACACTGCACTGGAAATGTTATAGATGATATCTCTCTAGGAATGATCATCTGATTCTATGTTTTGCCCGGGGGCCCCATGATTGTACTACACATTATAATATAATAAGACAGAACCTCCATTTAGCTCTCATGTTGATGGATTTCAGCATTTGTTCTAAAACAGACCATCTCAGTGTCTACAGAAACAGAAGTTATCGGGAAGATTATTACAAGAAGGTTTGTTAGAATATCTGTAATGTATGTGGAAGCCCCGGAGAGGATTGTTTCCCCAACAACACTGGAGTTTCACATATAGAGGGGAATTTATCAAAACTGGAGCAGACAGAATCTGGAGCAGCTGAGAATGGCAACCAATCAGCTTCTAGCTTTTATTTTAAAAGCTTAACCCGGACAAGCTGAAGATGGAAGCTGATTGGTTGCCATTCTCAGCTGCTCCAGATTCTGTCTGCTCCAGTTTTGATAAATTCCCTTTATAGTGTTTCGGTATATAGTATGTGTATGGGGGTTGGTTTACTAAAGGCAAATAGACTGTGCACTCTGCCAGTGCAGTTACTCCAGAGCTTAGTAAATGAGGTTGTGACGGGAGTCACTTTGGGTGGGGGGGCCATGGAACACAGCTGACTTTGGAGAGGTGGGGAGACCCTGTCTCAGCTCCCATATCCTATTATGTGTAAGTCACCCTGTGCCTGTTAGGGTACAGGGTGATCTGTCCTAATATTGGGGTGGGGGGTTGTTGATTGTTTGATGTCATGTGGCAGCATCCCATTGTTCTATTGTGTGTCTGGTTTGGGAGCAAACTATTATGGGATGTATGTGTTTATGTGTATTAGCTTAGTGGGGGGGTGTCTCCAGCAGCCCTCCCTTCCTGATGGGACTGTCTGCTGGTGTGAAGTGTGAATACCTGTGTGTGTCTTTGTTACTAAATGTAGATTGGCCCACCCTGTGCCATTATGCAGGGAGGGGGGATTGTCCCCTGAGTGTATATATCTTGTGTTCAAATAAATTAGTCTACCTCCTGGTTCACTTCAAGACTGGTGTCGTCTGGATCTTGGGGTAACAATAGTCCACTGGTCTCATGTTCCAGAGCCTGAGAAGCAGCTTCTTGATGGAGATACCCAGTTGTGGGATGTTTGGGGTCCGTTACAGTGGTAAAGCTTTGCTTTGTGAAGAATACCCAATCACCTGCAAGGGAAATTTAAAAAACAATTTTGCTTGCACGTGATTGGATGATGGAAGTCATGTATTTTTTTATCTTCCGCTCATTTACTAAGCTCTGGAGCAATTGCACTTTGCAAAGTGCGCCGT